ATAGAAATTTGCTGAAAAAAAATTTATATATATATATATGGAAAATATATATATTTATATTGCTGTATATTTTTGGCAGAGTTCATCATGCTACATTTTGRCCCAAGCCAATTCTGACAGTTGTGGCCAAATGGATTTGCGTCTAGACTCCATGCACCCGTCTCGTCTCTCAGACCAGCGCAGCTGTGGCCAATGCTGGAAAAGTCTTAGCCTTGGCAAGTGCCTTAGACTGAGATTTGGTTGCAGTCTGCACGGCTTTGCTCAGCTCGGCATTGCGCGTCGAACATGGTCTGCATTTGTAATAAGCTGCCAGCTGGGGCAGAGTCTGAGGCTCTGTGCTCTCGCCCTGAGACAATCCGGCGAATAAGTCGCAGCTTTGTGACTTCAATTGAAGTTGAGAGCTTGATATTGGCTTTTGTTAGCACGAAACAAGTTGAATCTGAAAACAGAAAATATTTTCAAAATATTGATTTAATTTTTTTTTTTTTTTTTAATATTCTACATATTAAATTTTACCAAATACGTTTTACATGTATAAATGCAGATGAATTTAAGCCTTTCCTTTTATTTTTATTTTTTTTTTTTTTTTAAAGCAATTTCAAATGTCCATCACTTTTTTACGTTTTTAAACCCATTTTTTAACAATGCTAAAAAATATAAAAAACATTTATCTGGCCATATCGATTATTATTTGTTTGCAATTTTGTTTGTTTTATTTAAGTCGGAACTGTTTCATCATCCACGTTTGTCATTTTTTTTTTAGCTTTAAAACTGCATACAAAAAATGGTTATTAATAATTTATATTTTAATTACAGGCTATGTGTGTGACAAGTTTTTTGTTGCACATTTTATAGAGAAAACTGTACTACAAATGTTTTTCACTTGGGCAATTAAAATCATTTTCGGTGGCAGACCATTTTAAATTTATAAATTTATAAATTTTTACTTGTAATGGAAAAATCAAAACATTTCAGGAGCATTAAGTCAAGTTAGTTAATTATGCGAGCCAATAGGTTTCCGCAGAGATTAATCAAGATATACATTTTAAATGGATTTTGAAGTATATTAAATGCTGATAAGTTGGTCAATTAAAAAAAAAAAAAAAAAAAAAAATTATGAACTTGAAGCGAAGTATATTTGAGTTGAAAAAGTTAGAAATCTTAAAAATAAAATGTTTGCTGTAATTTAAAAAGGGATTTGGAGCGAAGAAGCAATACTTTTACCTGCTGTAACTTTTTTATATTGCAGAGGCAAGAAATAAATATTTCATAAACATATTTCCTGAATCATGTTACTTTACATGTTTCATAAACCAAACATCTAATATCTTCTACCTCATACACAAAGTCATATTGTGTATTTACCGCATTATAAATAACATACAACTACGGGCTAATTGTAGTCTAAAGCTCGTCATATTATCAAAACAATATAAATGTTCATTGCCATAGTTGACCCACCTAGGCCACAAAATTGGTTGTCATTATTCAATTGAGTATTTCATTTGGGGCCAGACAAATGTTTCAACGGCTATTTGGGGGCGACACATTAACCGTTATTTCGTTAGTTCGATAATCAATAGGCATCAATGTGCCAATGAACTCGTTATCAACACTAATGGAGCCTTTTGCCATGCCACATGCAAGCGGCGTGCACGCAAGCATTCGAAAATAAAGTAAAAACCGGTAGCAACATTTCAGTTAACAGCCGAACAGGCATGCATGCCCTGCCACGCCCCGCCGCCTCCTCTCGGCGGCAGCTAATCCGCCCAGCGTGGGGCGCTTCCACAATATGATTATAATAATGTTATGCATATTTTGGTTTTCTGAAAATATATTTATGCATATACATATACAAATATATATTTTGGGTCACGCACGTAACGCCAACAACAACGAGCAGGAACAAATCAAGCATCAACCGGAAAACGGAATTGATTATCGACACTATATTTTGCCCCATCCCTATCTTTCGCTCTCTCCCTTTCTCACTCTTTATATATATTTCAGGAGCCATTGCCGTCCGCAGGTTTGTCGGCTGCGTTTTATCTATTCGCGTGCCGCGTTGCCGTTTGCCTGTTTGGAATCCCAAATACAAATTACGAAATTAAATGACTTCATTTTGTGCCTTGATACCCTATGCATATTTCATATTTTTCAAAAATATTAGAAAATGCAATTTAATGGAATTGGAAAATAAGTTGGAGCTTGAAAAGTGGTTTTAAATGAAAGGAATAAAAAAAAAAATAATAATAAAAAA